TTCTAACGTGTTCTTAGTTAAAAATTTTTACATTTTTTTTTCTTTTAATAAAATCGAAACGAAACATACTCTCTCACAAAATCTACCTCAATTTTCCAATTATTAAGACGTTCTGAAATAATCCTTGAGGGCAACATTCTCATCTCAAAGGATCCCATTCGAAAACGAAGAGGGAAAGAAAAATTCTAATTGCCTCCCCTCCCCCTCAAGGGAATTGGGTTAAGGTGTTAAGATTTTCTTTCCCGTTCTGTACAAAACGGTTACAGAAACTTTGCCATTCCTCGTATCTTCTAAGTTTAATTACAAAATAGATCCTGGCAACCGATCTCCCCTCCCAATACTTATAAACTTTCTTAACTCGATAATTGCACAAGTTTCAACATTTATTACGCAACTTTTAACGCGTACCTTTGTTTCGTTATGTTATCAAACTCGTTCCACCTTCCCCCCTTAATTTCATTATTCGCGCATATCTGCCGCAATTTTCACATTGGTGTTCGCAGAGGCGTTGTTGTTCAACAAACGGTTCCACGATTTGGAAACGTGAATATGGCAAGAATGGAGGAAAAATGTTAAAATGGCAAACTATGCTCGAGAGAGAGGCTGATAATTTTGTTTGATTATATTCAACGTGCAATTTTGAGAAAGAACGAAAATATTTGGTTGGAAATTGATCGAAACGAATTTTAATTCCCACGGATTTAGTAAAGTTTCGAGATCGTATAGAATTTACATCATTTGCGTAGAATACCGTTTTTCGAACATTTCTCTGAGACGCGACCCAGTTTTTACGAAAGAAGCTGCATTTTCTTTGAACAATTACGTAAAACATTTTTAATGGAGGGATTATATCATAATTACATTAAAAATATTATCCTTCTCTAATTTTATTTTGAATTTCTAATTTTAAAGTGAAATAATAAAATTATGATAAATAATGCAAAATAAAATCTCGAAAAATTTTCCTCCTAGCGATTATTTTATTACGTTTAAAAGTATAAATTTCCATAAATTATCGAATTGCACGTTTATATCCCTCCTCGCCATCACGTATCCGCATTATCACTTTAAAGTGAAATTGAACCAAAGTGAAAATTACATACAGAGATATTAAAATGTTGTCGTAAAAAATACAAAATACTTAATATAATATATATATATATATAATTGGGAATAAAAATATAAGAAATTTAGAAAGCGAATGTCTATCCACGTATATCCACCGTAAATATTACGACTGGAAATTTAACTTCATCCTCGATATTCATAAATTAAAAATATCCCCAGCCATTTTTAACCACCCGGATCTTTCATCCTCCGCACTTTTATCCTTTTCACCGCATTTCTCGCTGTAAATTGCGCCGACAGATAACGCGTGGATGAAACGTATCGACACGTATCGGGCCCGAGTTAAATCAGGCATATTCAAAGGGGATCAAAGTTGTCCGACATTTTCCAGCTGCGTGATATGATTAATCGTTCGCGTTCTTCCCCGCCTTTCCGTAAATTTCCATTATGGAAATTTATTTCGACACGCGAAAACTGGGATACTTTAATATTTATCGAGTGTGTCGCGCCAATAATATTTAGCATATTTCAAATGCGATATATATATATATCGATAGAAATTTCTCGAATCGAAATTAGTTTGTTTCGACCCCCCTTTTTCGAAATTAATTTCGAAGCTTCGAAAAGTTTGTTATTATCGTCGATACCGTAAAATAATAAATGGATACCGTGCTCGATAATTAATTCATACCGGTTGAAATCAATTAAGAATTTGTTGGCGAAGAATTTCGTTACGCCACCCTATGTATCGATCTATACTACTTGAAACTACTTCATCCCTATGTATAACGACTTCGAAAAGTTTAACAAATTTAGAATTTTGTTATCAAATTAATTATCGATTAAATCATGCCGAGAATTTCGAACGAATTACATTAATTTTCAAATTTGAGAAACAATTTTGATTTTAGAACAAGGATAAGAATGAAAGAAACCTCGGCGAATCCAAATGCGAAAAATTGTAAATTATCGAGGATTAACAAGTCTTGGAGAAAGTGATAAAATCCTAAATTTAAATGTTAACGAATCGCTTTTCAATTATTCTCTCCGCGTCGTTTAACTTATTACACCCCGTCCTTCTAATCTGTTTTGTTCTGCTCTGCTGTCAAAGTAGAAACATTGTTCTACCCGTCTAACTACACAAGGTCGTGATACTATTTGCCCAGCTAAACACGTTCCACTCGTCCGCCCGCGTAATGTCTTCGCGCTGTTCGCCTGGCTACGTACAAATCCAACGTCTGATCAAATATCGCGTATAATCTACTTGTCTTGACCACATACTAGGTGTTGTAACACGCTGGTTTGGTTACACACTCTATATAATCTACTTGTTTGGTCGTGCACCAAAATACCCTACTTGTTTCGAAGTTTCGTGTCGTTTGTCCAACGCACACACGCGCACACCCGTTCCATTCGATTCCAAAGTCCTCCGTCGCGCCATAAACGTTCCTGTTCTACACGTCTTCCTGCATACGGACCCGCGCCACTTATGGGATCCGTGTACCGCCACTGTAAATTACTTACCGAACAGAGTACCAGAGTATTAAACCATTGAAACTATTATATATACGTGGCTTTCATCGATGGGATTGAACGATTAAATGTTCTTTCCGGTTATTTTACAAGGACGAGTTATTATTATTATTATTATTTTTACAAAATAATTCAAAGGAGAAAACGAAGAATTGATGGAGCATTGAAAAAGTGAAACAAGCAAATGGAAATGGAATAAATTGTGTGATTTAATGGAACGAGAGTAATTCTTTTGGGTATTGCGAAATATGCTTTTGAGAAATGGATGGTTAAAAGGGATCGAAATTAAAAGTTTAAGTGGGACAATTATCCCTTTTAAATTAAAACTCGTCCAATATTTTTTTATTTTATATATATATATATATATATCTTTGACAGTTTTATTACGTGATAAAGGAAGAGATATTATATCACGAGGAAGGATAAAAGTCTAAAATACATTTTATTATAATCCATTTATATTCACTTTTATATCTTCCATTATAATGTAGAAGTTTTACAGTCGTAACTAATTGGGTCAATGAAAGGAAGTAAGTAATATCGCTTTGACCAAAAATATGAAAATTTTCTGTTCAAGCTACGTATATACATATATATATATATGAATATTCATAAGACACGCTATAAAGGATCGATCTTTATAAAAATATTCATTAATCTATTAATAAGAATTAATAATAATTTAAAGAACGAGAAATAAGGTAATTTTTTTTAATTTAATTACAAAGTAAAATTAGTTTATATCTCGTGCGTTTCTATTTATCAAACCATACATTGTTCCACTATACCTGGCGATAACTCATGCTCGTATGTCAACTCACTGACAAGATATCGTTTCGTACTACTTGCCTGACAAACCGTAATACATTACTACTTTACCAAGGATAAAATCTAAAACGTGATTGTTAACCATCTAATGGGATTTTAACGTAATTTACGTTCCTTAAACTTTCCAGTAAGAATAATAGTGTTAAAAATAGTACAAAAAAAAGAAAAGAAATGAAAAAAATAAAAAAATAAGGACGAGAAATTTAGCTCATAATTTTTCACGTAATAACGACAAATTTATTTACGACACGTATCCACGCGTGTTTATTCAAATTTTTCCACGAATCATTTAAATCGATAAATTTTTCCACGCGAAAAATTCTCTCTTCGACGCAAAGAAATTTAAACGAGCGCGAAGTTGAATGGGGAAGGATCGTCCGCATTGAAAATAAGCGCAATGCAGCATCGCGTGACTGTCCGACACGCTTTTGAAAACTCTAAATTCCCGCCCGTATTTTATCCCACGATGAAAAGTCGTGGAGACGCATCTGGCGGGTCCGCAGTGGCGAAAAGCGTAATTTGTCGGACGACAGGATGGCGCGCGTCGCGTCGGGTCGGTGAAATTTTTAATTCCTTGCGAGGAAACGCGGAGGAAACGCCGAGGCTCATTTTTTTTCACCAGGCAATTACACCCGCGCAATACGGCATAATGGATGCAGAAAAGCGACGAGAAAACGAAATCTACGAGTATTTTTTTAGCAGAGGAAAAAACCTTAATCGGATTTCGATCATCGAATATCGATTTAAATTCCGAAGAAGAAAGGATAAAATTGTTAACGAGTGTTGATATTTTTCTAAATTCTTAATGATGCTCTTTAACAATTGAATCCATGTGGCAATAATAATTCGATTTCGAAGAAAAAATTAAAAAGATAAAATTGCGATCCTGTATATAATTTTCGAGTTGCAAAAGAATTTGAATATATTTATTTATTTTCGTAAAATCGAAAAAAAAAAACTATTTCTCGTCACGATTTTTCTTCAAGATAGATTCAGATAGATCTAATGAAACTGATTTGATAAAACTAAGCCCAGCACTCCGCCAGTAGCGAGGTTAGAGTATAAAGAAGAAATGAACTTATGCAACGGGTGGATTTTAAGCCGGGAAAGCAGTAGAAGTGGCCGAGAGTTAAAAATTAATTTTTCCCGTGGTAGGATTAATGCAAATGTCTGTGCTTTTCCTTGACTAAAATCTTTTCTCTCTCTGTCTCTCTCTCTCTCTCTCTCTTTCCTTTTTTTTCCCCTCCACAGAAAAATCCTCTTTTATTATTTAAGCTAGCTGTACGAGCTTTTTCCCGTTTCCGCCATGCATTCCTGTAATTATTTTCGAGCAATATATAAATATAACGTAATAAAAATTTATTTGACGATGAAATAAATTTACCGATTGATTCGACATTGGTGTTGCTTTAAAAAATATTGCTGGAAAAATATTTCGCGCGTTTAATATACGTTCTAGCGTAAATATTCGTCGAATATCAATTTTCGAGAAAAATTGATGGAATTTCAGCGTGAAATTCTCGGTGACGAAATATTTGAAAATATATATCTTCCTTGTGTTGCTTTATTACAGGGAATATAACTGTGGAAATTCGAGAAGAAACGAAGATAGCGAAAGAAAAGATACTTTATCGTGCGTTTCCAACCTGGTAAGTTTCAATGCCTGCCATTCATCGTTCCACAATAGAAAAATAACATTATATTCGATACAAAAATTTCTTTACTAATCGGATAAGAAAAAAAAAAAAACGTAAAACGTTTCTCGTGAATGGATTGCAGATGTTCGTATATTTATAGGAAATTTGAAGATTCGGTTCCCCGAAGTTTTTCCCCTTTTTTTCTTCTTTTAATCAATTATATGAGGGTAACGATAACTTTTAAAGATATATAATTATTTCCACATAATTAAATAATATATTTAGAATTATAATTAAAGTATTACTATTAAAAAAAAACGACTAAAACACACGAGTATAAAAATTTTAAATTCGATTCAAATGATAACACAACGAGATATAAATTAATTCTCGAAACCGATCTTCGTTAAAACAAATTAAAGTCCATGTTCCATTTAAAAATACTCATTCGCCATCCCAAAAACGTTATACACAACGTGTATTACGAAAACGAAATATCTTTCACGATCGTATCGTATCATTTAATTCAATCTAACCGATAAAACTTTTGGCGCGCAAAAACTTTTCACGATCTTTTCTCGAAAGAACGATGCACGAATATCCCACATTGCGCAACCGAGAAGGATCTCGAATGTCTCGATTTCGCAGCTGTGACTCTTGAAATTCATCGAGATTCTCGATCGTTCTTTTTCAACCTCGAAAACGAAACGAAACGCCTGCGATCATTGTTCACCGACACGAATCGATTGTATGAAATACGATGATAGTAAAAAAAAAAAACAAAAGTTTATATCTCGTTGTTTAAGAAATTGTCCAACCCCGATAATTCTCGTTTTGGCCTCAGCCAGTTCGTTAATTTCTCGTCTGCTTCCCATCCACCCTTCTCCCTTTGAATTCAAAGCTAAAGCCAGCCAGTTACACAGAGGCACAACCTCCCTCGAGAAGTCTGACAACACGCTTGCCTTTTCCACTTGCCGCCACTGTGCCTGCACTAACTACTGAAACATCGTGTCGTGGCAGTTGGACGAAGTTTCTTGATTGTTGCCAGATAAATTATGAATAATATCGTTGACGATCCTCTGGCTATCCTTTGATTAATTGGAGTTGCGATAATGAGAACGGATTCTTTTTAAAGATTTTTTTCAAAAGAGACGAGAGAAACAGGATTTAATCAATGAGTAATCGTTGATTCTATAATTGTTAAAGAAAAATCTTAAAAGAATTTATTACGTTCGAATGTGAAAGATATTTTACATTCGATATATAACAACTCTGAGAGGAATAATATATTTTTACGAAATTTTGAAAATTATTAATTAATTGTTTTTAAAAATTATTATTCAACGTTGACAAATGGGATAAAATGTTGACAAGAGCGTGAAAAAGTTTAACAAAGGAAGATAAAAATTATTACGAATCCACAATCTCTGGAGATATAAAAATATACAAATAATCGAATTTCGATCAATTCGTCAAGTTTTATATAGCAAGGATCCAGTCTCATAAACCCCGAGCAATTTGATCGCGATCTCGATTAATCCCGAATTTCTAGATTTCCGGGATTCTCAAGGAGGAAGGAGAAGGAGGGGTAATTGAACAGGGTCCAATGCATGTCGGATAGCCAGAATTTTCAGCCGGCCACCTAATTCAACGCGAATCGATGTCTCGACTCTCGAAACCGATGCCAGGCCCACCCTTGCATTTCAGACACTCCTACCTACGTGTTTCCTGTTTAACAGATTGCTTCTGTTCCACGAATCGTCCGCGTTTAACCCGGGATTACTTGGATCGAGCTTTCGATTCTGATTCCGATTTTGAAGAAGAATATTTTCGTATGGATCGTTGGTACGACGAGACGAAGATATATTCGCATTTTTACGAGAAGTTCAAAAATTTAAATTACGTATATTTAACGCGAAGGATGGAACGATTTTCCTCTTCCTTCTTGGCCTTCATTTCCTTTTTTTTTTTAATTATATTCACGAATAGATCAACGTAGTTTAATTATCATGTAAATGACTCTGATTAAAATACAAGTCACAATGGTGATAAATCTTCCCGCATAATAACGAGTTCGATT